TAATTATTTTTAACATTTAATTAATTCAACATACTACTAATTATTATATTATTTAGAGCAATTAATGTATTTACCAGAGTGAATTTGGCATATCGGCTTACATTAAACATGATAGAGAATGGGCAAAACCCTATATTGAGCCCATATACTTATTTTAAATTTTTAATTAAATTTTTTAATTTTTATTAAAACAAATAAAAGTTATTGAATTGAATTTAGTGAACAAATATTTAAGAGGGCTGCCCCCTCTTCCCCCTACGTGGTTTAACGCAGTGATCAGTCTGGCATTTGCTTTTCTTCTACTCTCAACTTGAGACAAGGGATATGGTAAGTCAATTAGTCAACCACTAAGAAGTACTTGAAGAAAAGGAAAAGCACAGGACCTCAATTATATAGAAAATGAAATCTTGTACTGCACTACAACTGGATTCCATAGCCTCGACTCTCGAGAACCGCGTTCTTTTTCCTTTGACAATATGCTGCCAATCATTCCATAAATTTCTTTCCACGTTCGTAGAACCACTCGAACAGCAATGGCTTTTTATTCCCTCTCCCAACCCTTCTTCTTATTGCTGCTTCTTCCAACATTTGTTGTTTCTCAGACATCTAATATCACTTTGGGATCATACCTTGTGGCTTCTAAAGAGTCACCTTCATGGAAATCTCCTTCTGGTGATTTTGCCTTCGGATTTTACCAGCTTCAGAATCAAGACCATTTCCTGCTGGCCATTTGGTTCGACAGAATTCCCAATAGAACGACTGTTTGGTATGCAAACGGAGATAATCCGGCATCACAGGGATCAAAGGTTGAGCTTACTAGAGATGGCAAACTCACATTAACTTCCCCAAATGGTCTAATCCTTTGGAACGCCACATCCACAGTTGATACTGATGGCACTGCTTCTTCCGTTGAGGGGGCTGCTTATGCTGCTTTGCTAGACACCGGTAACTTTGTTCTTGTTCGTAAAGATTTTACTTACGCATGGGAGAGTTTCAACAATCCTGCAGACACCCTTTTGCCAACTCAAGAACTGAAGCTTGGTGGAATTTTGTCTTCTAAACAGACGCCAAGCAATTACTCGAGGGGAAGGTTCCAGCTCCACTTGCTACCAAAGGGTAACCTTGTGCTTGACACCATTTCCTTGCCCAAAGCAAATGAAAATGCTGCCTATTACATCAGCAACACTTCTGATATTGCTAATAGCGCAAATTCTGGTCAAAGGTTAGTTTTCAACGAATCAGGCCACATCTACATTGTCCTAAGGAATGAGAAGATTGTTAACCTGAGTGACCAAGTGCCTTCACAGGATTATTATTACAGAGCAACACTTGATTTTGATGGAATTTTGACAGAATATGCCTATCCCAAACCTCAAAGAGCTGGGAATGCTGATCAGTCCTGGTCCCCTGTCTGGTCCACTCCTTCTGACATTTGTCAGGCAATGAATGGTGATGAGGGACTTGGTTCGTGTGGCTATAACAGCTACTGTACAATTGGCAATAACGGACGGCCAAGTTGTCAATGCCTCCCTGGCTTCAATTTCTCTGATCCAGACAACAAGTTCAATGGATGCATTCAGGACAGGATACAAGATTGCAATCCGGGTCCTTCAAAAGCAGAGGATTTGTATGATATGCATCAGTTACCAAACACTTACTGGCCAAAGTCTGCAAATTTTGAACGGACGCAATCAAATGAAGATGAATGCAATCAATCTTGTCTCTATGATTGTGAATGTGTGGTTGCTGTACTCAAAGAAGGATTCTGTTATAAGAAGAAGCTGCCGCTAACAAATGGCATAGTGGACAGGAGCGTCAATGGCAAAGCATTCATAAAGGTAGCAAGATCTAATGCTTCTAATTTTCTGAATCCTAAAGGATCTAGAGTGCTTCAACTGCAGAAGAAAGATCAATCAACTCCAATTCTGGTGAGATCATTTCTTTTAGGTGGCTCAGCATTTATCAATTTCCTGCTCATAATTGCAATCTCTATACTAGCTATCTGGTCTTGCAACAAGAAACAGAAACCGAGTCAAATGTCAAGCCTCTTGGAAAGTAATCTACAGTCTTTTACTTACCAAGATCTTGAGGAAGCTACAGACGGGTTCAAGGAAGAACTCGGGAGAGGTTCTTTTGGAATTGTGTATAAAGGTGTTTTGCACCCTCCTCATTCAACAATTTGCATCGCTGTGAAAAAATTAGACAAGATAACGCAAGAAGGTGAGAAGGAATTCAAAACAGAGGTGAATGCAATTGCCAAAACTCTTCACAAGAATTTGGTCAGATTGATGGGATTCTGTGAGGAAGGGCCGCACAAGCTTTTGGTATATGAGTTCATGAGCAATGGAACACTAGCTAGTCTCTTGTATGGAGATTGTAGACCTACATGGAAGAGTCGCACTCAAATGGCATTTGAGATTGCAAGAGGGCTAGTGTATTTGCATGAGGAGTGCAGCATACCCATTATCCACTGCGACATTAAGCCTCAAAACATACTCTTGGATGACTCATTCATTCCAAGAATCTCAGACTTTGGATTGGCAAAGCTTCTTATGAGCAACCAAACTCGCACCACAACAGCAATCAGAGGTACAAAGGGATATGTTGCTGCAGAATGGTTCCGCAACATGCCAATTACAACAAAGGTTGATGTTTATAGTTATGGGGTGATGCTACTGGAGATCATTTGTTGCAGGAAAAACTATGAAGAAGAACGAGAAAATGAGGAGGAAGCGATACTAACAGATTGGGTCTATGACTGCTATAAAGAGAGAAGATTGGATAAAGTAGTGGAGAATGATGAGGAGGCGATAAATGACATGACAAAGGTGGAAAGGCTAGTGATGGTGGCAATTTGGTGCATACAAGAAGATCCCTCTTTAAGACCTTCCATGAGAAAGGTCACTCATATGCTTGAAGGAGTTGTCCAAGTTCCTATGCCCCCATGTCCTACCCCTTTTACTTCTTTATGCTAAAGCTGTATGCCCTTTTGCCCCAATGTCCACGTCATGCATATCAATATATCATCTTGTGCTTCTACAAAAATGAAAGAGGTATGAA